GTTTCCCTTTAAGTTTTCCACTAAACGCTCGTCTGTATTATCATATTCAAATAACCTTTTTAGTTCGATTGTTTCTTTATGCCTGTACATGCAGATTGAGTTATATATGATGTTACCCACAGCATGACTCACATATTAATATGGGTTGACTTTTAAATTGAAATTTAACGAAAAATGATATTGACATTTATAAAAGAACCTTGCCAAAGTGCAATTTCAGGGTAACTTATTTCTTAATTTTTCCATATCACTGTAACTTCTATTGCAAGACCACATATTTCTGTTCTAGATTTTAAGTTTAATATATATGTTTTAAACTGTTTCTTTCAGCTAATATTCAAATGGGGAAATTTAACGTTAGTTTTTCAAAACTTAGCCGCCATTGATTCAAAAAGGCATCCCTTAATTTCAGATACAATCCACCACACACACACACACACACACACACACACACACACACAATATATATATACGGGTTCATAATACATATATAATATATGTACGGGTTCCTAATAGCTTGAATGTACACAAGTCCGCTGATAAGTTAATAGAATTAATTTATCAACAGAATTACTTACAGTTCTGGAATTTTCATCAGAAGTACTCGTACAGCAGTTTGTTCAAATCAGTATCGCAAAGTACAATCAGTAGTTAAGAAATTAAATTACTGAGAACGTTAAACGCAACTCATCTAAACGAAAAGCTGACTCGAATATCTCAGTTCACGCGGAACTAACAAATCCAACAACAATAACTAAGCAACTAAAAGCAGATGTTCTATCTTTGGCCTTTAATAGTTTCCAAAATTATTTCGAGTGCTTTCTGCTTATGCTGAGATATTTCTATTATTCCTAGTGCTTTTCTTCTCGAAGTTACTGAAAAGCAATACGAGGGTGGAATTACAGTTACAGCTAACATAATGGTCAATTAGATTTATTCAATTTCAATACATATTACGGTAATACATGGACCGGACCAAAATGTCGCCAAATTTGACGACTTTTGGCAATTTTTAGCCAAATTTAGGACAAAATAAGTCGCCTAAACCGTTGTCAGCTTGGTGATATATCGCCAAGTTACCGAGGTACCCATTTACTCAATGTTAAATGTACTTGCCCCTATATTCTTACTTTTTCGGCATAACTTCTGTTTATATTTTTCATGTTACAAAAGAAGTATAACAATTTAACTTATAATTCTACTAAAATTACCTATCTAAATGGAAAAATTTGTAACTATATCTATATCTATATATATTATTACGAATTTTACGTTGAAATATTTTGTAATGTTGAAGATTTATGGTGTGGTACACAGGAGAGGTATGTAATAATGGATTTAATATTTCTTTTTATTCTCTTTGACAAACGTTTTCGCAAGCCAGTGCAGGTGAAATGGCTCAATAAGCGCCTTGATAAACTACATAGATAGTATTTATTATTTATAATACGTTTGAAGCGGCGGGCGTTGGCAAATCTAGCTAGCAAACAAAGCAGTTAGAGTTACGCAAGAATTACATGAGAGCAATTAATTTGGAAATGACGCCACTTAGAGATATTTATTATAGTAATCAGTTTTAATTTTCAAGAGAGAAAGGGAAATAGCAAAATTAAAATGGAAAGTTAAGGGGCTATTACAAATTAAAGATTGATTTATATATTTTTAATCTTACGTATGAATGGTTTGGTTCTAAGTACATGAAATTAAAGAAACAGAATGTTCAAAAGCATCTATCAAATATTTTCCAATAATTGACTTTTCGTTGCCAACATAGTATATCTATTTAAATTAGAACTGTGAAAAAAATTAATTACTTCAGAATAATTATTAATTCTAAGATTCTATGATCCACTAAATTTAAAGAGCAGAGAATTTACATAAATTCATACAAGAAAATATCTGCGCCTTAGAATCGAACCTGCTCTCGCTGAACTCGCAATTTACCAGTCTGCTTTTGAATTCACTCTTGCTAACCCATTTCTTTTGTGTTTTTAGCTTTATTATTAAGCATCAGTAAAGGAAATGAGAGTTCTGGATCGGGAGCTTTGGGGATCTGGAGTTGAGAGAGCTCCCGAGAAGGAATGGTTAGCCGTGGGAGGGAGGCTTATCTGAAAATGGAAGACAGGGAGCCTTATTGAGCTGCTATGTCACAGAAAAAGGACGTGTGCTTAGGTTTTATTAATTTGGTGATTTAGGCTTTTAGTAGTTATATGATAATGTGTAAACTTTCTTAAAAACAAATATCAAGTAGGTGTTTTAAGTGATTGATACAGTTCATCTTGTTAAACAGATATGTAATAAAATGTTTCCTTAACAGTATAACTTCTTTGGAAAACAATTATTTTTATTTTTACTTGCATTTATCCGAAGATTGAATATCTACAATACTGCTACATATAATGGGTTTCATACAGACATTTTAAACCAAATCATAAGTTTATTAAAATACAAATCATATGAGAACTATCTTTACTTACGAATAGGCCTTATATCAGTGTAACTTGCTTACTTATATGAATTCTTACAAACACTTATCAAGTACTGTTAATTCTCTAAACAGAAATACTATACAAAAAATGTTCCTTAATAGTTACGTCTTGGAAATAATTATGTTTTACTTGATTTATCTATGACTGATATCTCAAACTGACATACAATAGGTTTGATATAGACCAAAAGACAATTTAAATAATATAATATTAAAATATAAAAGATCAGTATCATAAAAACATTGATAAAGATATAAAATAAAGATGATATGAAATGATGTAAAAGGACCTGAGGAACTATATACAAATAAGAAAAATATTATCAAATTTGATCTATACCATAATGTCCATATGCTAGACTATTCACCCCATCACTCTCTAATAGCGTCATTTCTTCGTACTTATTTCGCCATATGCAGTTCAACAGCAAAATTACAAAAATTTTAAAATCAGAATGTGTGTAGAATTCCTGATTAAGTGTTAAGTTTTTTTTTTAAATAAGAAAACAAATACATAACTTCTCATGAAGTATTCCACGAAGCTTACAGATGTAAGTAAATAACTCATAATACAAGGATATACAATTCAACAGTAAAAAACATAATATTTAGGTCTGCAGAGAGCAAAAGAAAAAATATAGAATACTATTAAAATAAAAATACCAAAATATACCATGAATAATTAACCTATGTTAATACTCCTTTAAAAGAAAATAAACCAACTTAATATAATGAAAATAAAAATGAAATAATACTTAAAAATAATGCTGACTAATACAAAGGAAAAATGAGTCATCAACAATACATCAATGCATAACATAATCACGTATAGACAATACACAAATTAATACAATGACACATAAAAGATTAAAATCCAATCATATAAATATTAATACTTAAACTTCAAAGAACAAAAAAAGTCGGGCAAGACTGCAAAAGCATCGGAGCTCTTAACAAGACGATGGGAAACAGAAGGCCAACAAACAAAGAGCTGCCCTAAACTACACTCTGGCACTCGTATGCAACCTACAATGCAATAAAATATATTCCACATTTTCCACAGCATCACCGCAAGCACAGAGTCCACTAGTGACTATGTTGAAATGAAATAAGTAATTTCCAAAATTCTCAAGACCAGTCAAAATTTGAGCAAGTTTATAATCCGGTTGAAAATGTCTATACTTAAGTCGTTGAAAAACACTTGGTAAAAATCTCTTTGTTCAATGTCCTTCGAAGAAGCAAGATATTCAGCATTCCAGTCAACCACCGTTATCTCAACTGTTAAATATTGGCATAGTTTTTATTATTTTTGCAAACTTTTCTCCGTTTGTCATATCAATGTACAGTTTTCTTAGTCAAGATGGCTTTCAAAACTTTTATATGTCATTTATTATTAACGTTTTGTGCGTTAAATTTGTTAATTAAATATCATGTTCTTCGCATTTACGCCGCATAACATTCAGTCGAATACCAAAATCACAAAATATTTGAAAACAGCATATCTTTAGAATTTTCCACATACAGTCTGGCACCGTGGATGTAATAATGTTTTAATCCGTACAGTGTTACCACTGCTTGCTTTCAAATCGTTGAATTTGTTAAAAAATTCCTTAAAGTTTTACAAAATATGAAACATAAAATTCAAAATTGGGTTTCCAGGTAGATATATTCGGGTGCAGGACTACGTTATTCAAAATTTGATGGCCCAAGGTACCGTCTTTTTTACGAAGTGCAAGAAACATGCATACATTATGCAGATTCTCCATTATTTAATTTCTTCAAATGTAATAAATACAGAGTGATAATATTTCGTACCAACAGTTCGGAAAGTGATTCAGACATTTAAAGTAACATGCCGCCAAATCCCGTTTCGAGACTACTAGATCATTTGGACTAACGCCCTTTTGTGCTAAAAATCAATAATCTGAAATGGTTCAGATTTTAACGATCGCCCAAGAGGGTCGTTTTAAAGTTTAATATGGTTTTTAGGTAGAGATTATCAGTGGTATCCAGGTAGAATTATCCAGGTAGATTATCCAGGTAGAATAGTGAAACATTTTATGTAATACTGCATGAGTATACATTTAGATTAGCATGGGAATGTCATATAGGTTTTGAATATTGAAAAAGTGAAAAAATGTATGATATAATTCTATGAAAGTATTAAATGTTTTTAATTAGGTACATCATGAATTAAATGGATATAGATCAATCAAATTAAAAAATAAATATTCTCAAGACTTGCATATATTGCTTTTAAATAGTTTAGTTTGTTAATATAGAACAGACAGTTGGAATTATAAAGATAAATATCAAACATTTTGCCAAATTTTAGCAGATTCGCATGAAAAGAAAAACAGCGCGAGATCGTATTTTGAGACTAATAGCCCTTTGGGTTTAATAAAAACAGTTATCAACCATTCAAAAAATCATTTATGAATAAATTTTATAGTATGCTTAAATGTATTCCCATTTGTTTACTCATATATTTATTTTTTTAGGGCGTCTTGAATGAGAACGGTACAGCTTTGAAATCTGATTTGCGAAAGCTGAGAAACCAATGAATGCAGCTGTTCACTCAAAGGAAATTTCTCAAGATATCACCAAATCACAAATTAAACGGAGTTGTGGAAATAATAACAAAATGCTTAAAAGAACGAAGCGAACTGCGAAAAGAAAATCATCATCAACACAAAGAAATAATAAAACCATGATCAGACGATGCAAAGCCAATGCCAGAGAGCGAAACAGAATGCACAGTTTAAACGCTGCTTTGGATACTCTTAGACAATACGTTCCAGTTAAAAACAACTCTCAAAAACTATCGAAGATCGAAACTTTGCGACTTGCTAGAAACTACATCATAGCTTTGACTGAAACTTTATATTACGGAGAAAAGATGGATGCACTCACATTTGCTAAAATACTATCTCGCCAGATGTCTCAGCACACGACGAATATGATAGCAAATAATTTCAATATAAACAGTAATTTTTTAAATGAAAACAAAAGGAATTCAAACGGTTTTACTGAGAATAACGTACTTATATGTAACTATGAACCTATGCACTCGATGGATATGAATGTAGTTCATGATAAACACCACTGCATTGATATCTGTCCTGGTCTTATTGCATGTACTTTCAATAGAAGTGGAAATAGCAATACTTCTGAATCAGAAGCCTCTCTGGATCCCCTTTGCTACACTAATATGGTTATCAACTGTGAGGAAAGTCAGACGATGGAAGAAAATCTAAGTTTAGATGCGAAAACTTCGATTCTTTGTGACTTAGAAAACAATTCTGTATTGCCAAACACTTGCTTTGTTAGTGCAGAAAATGTATCACCACATAACTCTGCTGTTGATGATTGTTTCTTTCCACAAGTGGGCACAGCAGTTAGACAAGACTGCTTATCCGCCGAAGCAGTTTCCAATTATAACACTCTCATACCAAAGATATGATTTTTTAGAAGACAAATTCGTAGCTTGACCTACAATATAATACTTTTTTAATATTCTTTAAATTTGATTCTCTCATTTATTAAATTGACGGAAATAGTGATTAAAAACTATATTACCTTGTAGTGATTAAATGTATTACTTTTGTAATTATATCAAATTTCAGAAAAATGTGTATGATATTATCAAATAAAATATATACACATAAATGTTAAATTTTGTTTTCTTTTTTAAATACACGATTTTGGGATTGTTAATTTATTGTGGTTGAAATGGGAAAAAGAAGTAAGCGTTCCTCAAAAACAGAAACAAAATGTGAGAATTTCATCATAGTAAAAAGATAGCATAGTTTTGATGTAATTATTCGCAGTAAAAAAGACTAAAATAATGCTACCGTTACTCGCACAGGAATAGGTGAAAGATTATTTAGTCATTTTACAGGAAGTGAAAAACTATTAAAAACAAAAATCCTTATGATTTGGTGTTTTGAGATATTCTAGAAAATAAACTCATGAATAATTCAACTTCGCCGAGAATAAAACCATTCGCGAATCATTGATATCTCTAAAATGAATAAAATGAACCTAGGAAATGGAATAATTCATATTTTATTTTTGGAATATCTTGCACCATGGATCCGTATTACGCTCTAAATATCTATTCGAAATCTGCAGAACCATTCTAACCTAGTAATAGTTGCCAGCTTTTATTTTGGGTAAGCCTTGTTATCGAAAAGCAAGTTTCACAGGTATGTTTAATTTATATATATTTTTTTCAATATGTTAGAAAATTCAGTTTAAGTTTACATATATTTTGAAGGATAAACTGCTATTTAAATAAAAAATAACTTCGGAACAAGTTACGTTTAAATTATACTACTATAGCATAAATCTGAAAGTGATTATTTTGTTTTTTTAATTTGAGATAAGAAGCTTCTTTCTCGCAAACGTATAAATAATGCGATGTTTCTGATTAATTATATATCAAATGTATTGTTCTAGAAGATAATCTGCAATTCTTAAAGTATGAATTGGCAATTTGAATTATGTTAAACATATAACGTGAATTCAACTGCATAATCATGTTGAAAAATGATAATAATGGCAAGAGGTAACAACAAATGTAATTAAAAGTGTCTGTTTGGAAAAATAGTTTGTAGTGGAGAAAAATATAAATAAAGAGCCCGATGAAGGGATGAATGAGTATCTTTTCGCAGAATTTCAAGTTATTGCCATCCTCTCCATAATGCTTTAAACATCTAAAAAAAATATTACTTTTACTTGGCAATAAATTAATGATTTTTTTATATATTCATTTGACTATTTTTACAGTTTAATGAAAACTAAAAAATAAAGTCCGGATAATAGTAATCAGCAAATTTCTGTTTCTTTCTATTCCTTCCCAGACTGTTCGAATATATCCAATTTAGTGGCTCAAATAAGGAATTAAAAATATCATATTCCTTCGAATTTTAACTTACGTAAGATTTTAAAACTAGAAAATAAATACAAAAACAGAAAGGATTTTATAGCAGATATTGAAAAATAGGAAATATTTGAATTTCTTTCTAAACAGGTATTAAAATGCATATAACAAGTTATTCAAGTAATTGAAAATCTTCTCTAGATCTTTCTTTACAGAATGAGGATCAACAGAAACAAGATGTTAAAATATTTTCTTTGGATTTAAGCAGCATTCTAACAATTCATCTTAAAAAGTTGAATAAAAGTGCAGCTTCAATTCTAAGTCGTAATGTATTTTAACAGTGCTGCTCGAATAAACTTTCAGTTTGATTAAATTCAATTAGATTGTAAGATTCTATTGTAACTGGAAATTTATATTTAAGTCCTGCAAATACTATCAGACTAGCGAATTATGGTTAGTCCTAAGCAAATCACAAATACTGGAGAAGATTAAAATAAGCTTTTCTATTTAGTCTTAAACTGAACAGAACAGGCAGAGCTTGTACTACAATGAACATTGCGAGTATTTAAATTAACAAAAAGAAAGTTGCATTTCAAATGAAGATAACGTAGTCGGAAACTGCAAGTAAAGTAGATTAATGAAGCTGAGTCAGTATTTTACCGATGCGTATTTAAGATATTGACTAGCAGGGTGCTAAAGCTGGAATATAACTTTAAGCAGAGTGTGCTTAAATAATAGCAACACGCTGTTGCCGGAAGCTCTAATCTAAACATTCATAACTCTCAATTTAAATGCAGACAACTTAATTTGCATTCTGGTGAAGAATACTGAAAGAAGAGCTTAAATCATAATAACAAAAGCTTAGAATATAATGACTGCTTAGTGAAAATAAAATGCTTTACAAGATTAAAATAAAGCAATTTTAAACTGATGTAGATTTAAAAAAAAAAAAAAAAAAACTCTACTAATTTCAAGGAGGGTAGGTCCCTCTTCTTCAAGGCTAAAAACGTTTATTTAGATCAGGGGCGAACTACGGTTCACAGACCAAATCCGGCTCGCGAGATGATATTGTATTTTACATAAAAAATCTGATGTGTACACCACATGACTTCCTTGTACGGAATATTAAATTATACGCATTTTTTCTTGCATTTAATTTAAATTTATTAGATTGAATAAACCTACTTCGCCGACAGCGCATAAACCACAATAGAATGAATGCATTCTTTAAAATTCACTTTGTTTACCCTAGCGACACTCTGGCGCTAGGTTACTTAACAGTATTATATTTCGTCCATATTATAACTCAATGCACAAAATTTATATCATTTAAAGAATTATCTAATCGTTGCCACATGTTCTATTCAAATACTATAATAAAGCTAGAACTAATATAAAAGAAATTAAGCAAAACAAAGCAAAAGAAACAGTTTTTCACAGACGATTGAGTATTCTCATTCATTAATTCAGTTTCACTTCGCGACAAGGCAAAAATACATAAAAACTCAATATGTATTAAAAATTACGAAGTAAATCTTAAACGCTTATCCTCGAAAAAATTCAGAAAGGATTAAGCATGATTTAAATAATAAATGAAGGCGTTTTTTTTTTGCGAAGCCAAGTTTCTCTAGGTTGGCAAAATACGCTACTCAGCTGTTTCAAATGTAAACAAGAGCATGGCCGCCATAAAATTAGGCTTAGCGGCACTAAACAATTTTAAAATTGTTGATAATTCTAAAACTATTGCATACAGATTTACTAAAGGCAAAACTCTTAACCGGAAGATAAAAAACAAATAATTCATCGTTTAAAGCAAAAAATGTACAATTTACAAACATATAAGAGTAAAGAAATGAGATCACTGAGCCGGGTAACAGAGTATATCTAATTTTATATACGTTTGGCCGGCCGATGAAAAAATGCGAGGTGCACACTACATGTTATAGTAGTCTTATATACAAAATTTCAACGTTCGAGGATACTTGTTTTTGCGAGATACGTACATACGTTCGTACAGACGCCACAAAAAATTCTCTTCAGTTTTTTAGTTTTTTTGGAGGAAAAGAGTCTTTTATTCTGTCCTCACGTACAGATATCAAACAAAAACATCGTTAAATTGCATTCGAAAGCGATCAAAGTGGATATTTTCGTTGAAATATGCTACTTGAAACTTTTCGCGATTACAATACTTCCTTTTTACTTCGTACAAGGAAGTAAAAATAAACCAAATTATGCGCTATTATGCAACGGCCGAGAGTTGAGTTGAAATATTGCGAGTAGATCGCGAATGGCACTACTTTCGTATTCTTTCGTGTGTTATTGTTTTTAAAAGCGGTTTCGACAGGCGAATGTTTGTTTTGAGGGTCAGTCACGTTTAGAAAATATCGATGTAATCTAAGCACGCTGATATGCTTTAGATGCCAACGCTGTGGACTTTCTGTAACAACGAGCGAGATGTTTAAAATGTGCTCACAAGCACTTGACGTACACATGCAAATTAAAGAAGGAAGATAAGCCAACTTTGCGTGCATTGCAAACTGGATTATGTAGCCTCATCGAAGTCGTGCGAGTTTCGTCCGGAAATTCGTAAAATGCCTGTTGCAAAGAAGCAAACTCATGAGCCACAGCCTCAAAAGTCTGTTCGTCGGGCGCCTGAGAAAGTGCATGCATCCAACTCCGACGCTCCGCACGGTAATTTAACGGATTTCCAGTTGGATAAAAATTTCAAGAAAATGATCTGCAAATTTCATGGAGTTTACTGAGAAATTCAAGCAACTGCAGTCCCCCCCCCCAGAAAAGATTCTTTTTATGTTATGAAGTGACTTCTTATTATGTCTGTGATGTTTGGGCTCTTCTTTTTAACTCAAGACTTTCCTGCTGGGATCTTACTACGTCTGGACTTTCTACTGTCTTGCGCCTTTGGCATATTTTATCATCGAGCAGAACACATCGCGCTTCGCGCGATATTCCTGCAATACAAGTAATGAATGAATGAATGAATGAATGTTTGTGCACTGTGCTCTGAGCGAGCGTGTTTACAGTTTTGCTATAGAGGTGAGCGCGGTATCATCTGTCAAGGTACTCTGGGATATTTTGTTCTTTTCATTTTATTTTATTCATTACCTACGTTACTACGTCACTCTCAAAATCAAATAAGAAGAGAAAAGGAGAGTTATTTTGTCTTAGAATTAAACGACAAAGTTTTATGTTTAATATAACGTGCGAAAAGAGAAAAATGTACCTCATCATTGCCAAATTAAGCATGTGAGACGATATTGAAACCTCGCAGAAAATGAACGATAATTAAAATTGGAAAGTTTAAAATAGAATGCATCGTCGCAACGCAATTTATCAGTAAAAATAAAAAATAATAATGCAGTAACTGATGTCAGCTTACGAATAGTTGATTTATTAGCCACGAAAGGAACACAATTTACCGATGGTGAATTAATTAAATCAGGTTTGCTTGTGGCAGCCGGAGATATGTGCTCATAAAAAAATGGATATAATTCCATCTGTCAGTCTTTCCACGAGAACAACTGTTAGAAGACCCGAGGACATCGAGAGCCCTATCAAGAATTAATTAAAAGTTAAAGCAAAAAATTTCAAATGGTTTTCGTTGGCTCTTGATGAATCTACAGATAATATTGATACTGCTCATTTGCT